TGAACGAAGAAGATTGTCTTAGTTCCCGGAATACCTGAAAGCCGATGATGGAAACCTGGGACTTTGTTGAATACCTGAAGCAGTCAATGAGTGAAGTAATTCAAGTCATCTACAAACTAATTAAGTTTTCAAAAGAGGATCTACACCACACACAACTATGACACGTACACATGGAATCTCTAATAAGAAGCTCAACAACTACAAATCTTCAAACCAAACATTATGTTCATACATTCGAAAATATATTTCAATGCAAATATTTTTATAACTTGAATGACTGGCGATAAGCATAAAAACATATATGCAAAAAATAATACCCGTAAACTTGGTGAATAATACATCTTTTGGGGGCTGTTTTAAACATGAAGGAAGGACATTCATTTCTGAGCGCAATGAAAAAGATTAATTTTTTTTTCATATTTAAATTGTAATGGATATTATTAACAACTAATATAATGTATAGTTTATACAAGAGTCATTTAAGAAAAACTCCAATAGAAGCATATACAGGTTGGCTGTCAAATTCGAGTGATCGACAAATAAAAAATGGAGTAGCATATATAAGTTGTTCCAAAAAAAGGTGACCTTGCTATTCATATACCCAAGACTTACATACATGAGAGACAATAGATTTACGATTTCTAATATCCGTATAAGTTCATCAAGAAACAGTTCATTCAGTTATTTCATATGAAAACATATCATAGAAAAATAACTAACCTGATAAGCTGAATTATATAAACTAATATCTTTTCCCATATAAACATTTCATTGCACTGTTCCAAATGTTTATCTCACATGCTTTGGTGCACCTAAAAATCATGTAAAAAGTGATAATTAAATTCATCAGCCATACTAAAAGCGAAAAAATGAATCAAACAATAAAAGTGTAGCACAATAATAAGATGGTCCAATACCTTTTACAACTTTTACACTCAAGACCTCAGTGATGCAATTGTATTTTTTTTTCTAGACCTTACCCGAGAAGAAGCCAATTTCTTAAGTGTGGCGCACAGGGTGGCCGGGGAGAAGAAGCCAATTTATATGCAACTTAAATGACCCCTCCGTCACAAATTAAGTCGAGGCTTTCTCTTTGAGGCCTGTATTATAGGGAAATCCAGAAAATCACAGATATCATTACAACTTTAACACCAAAGAGTGTCACAAAAGGAATACAATATGTGTAACGGTTAACACATTAAGGAAGAGGTTTTACTAAGAATGTTGGGCTAAGAATAACCTATCAAATATTAAATCAAGAGGTTTTACTAAAAATCATCCTTCTTATTTCATTGGAGAACTTCTACTGCATATTAAATCAAGAGGTTTTACTAAGGAAATAACATTGTTTTTGTAATGTTATTCCAAAAAAATGTTTTAAACAGTTCTGTAGTCCTTATTCCATTAAAAATAATCTTTTACAGAAAAGGTATTTAACATGTTTAAATTTAATGTTTTTTTTGTAATGGATTAAGATGTACCTGCTCAAGTTTAAATGTTTTAAACTTTAAAGTGGTAGCATTAAACAAATCCCTTCCATAAATGAACAAAAATGGAGGCTGGAGGCTCAGACAAAGCTCACTAACAGACAAAGTGAAACAACTGACACCGCCATGGCTGCAAACACACGTGAGATATTCAAATCTGGTCATTGTGTTGCCACGCCAAGATTCGGGTCGGGTATCCCTAATGCCCATCAACTGGCTCAAGAAAATGAATTATCATCACAGCCCCTTTATAAACAACACTGCTGTCACCAACACTAACACTGTTAACCTTAGGGACCTTAGGTTAACCTTATGGACCTCATTTTCTATCTATGCCTCAGAAGCATCATCGGCAACAAGGGGAATATCAGATGTAGCTATTGTACTCTCTGGGACAAATTCATCATAGATAGCAATCCTTTTATCATATGCAATTTTCTCACAGGCAACATTTTCACAGTTAGTATTAGGGACAGGGGCATTTTCTCAATCAATAGCAGGGCCATCTTTTACAGAACTGTTCAAAAACAGAACATTTTTATTATCAGCAATAAGGATAGAAGCATCACAAATAACAAGAGTGGGAGCTAACATTTTCTGCCCAGGGGCAGTGCAAATCATTCTGGCATTGAAACCAGAAGTGCACCCACCTTCAACTGGAGCAGGTACATCCTGGGCAACTAAAGCAATAGGTACATAATAATTGGGGCGACAAAATCAGAAAAGTTACTAATTATTTCTGGTCCAGGGGCATTTAGTCCACCATCAACTACACCAGAATCCTCATGGGCAACTTTAGAAAAAGCATCAATGGTAGCAGAAAGTTCAATAACACCGTGGGATGTTAAAGAGTCATCAACAGGGCAATCAACGCTAGTGAAACGATGTTACCGTATAGCTGGAGAAGCTTGAATCACGCGGACGCTTGGCACCAGAGAAGCTTGGTTCTCGCGGACGTCTCGCAAATCCGGCAAAAGATTTCTCCGCAAACCCTAACTTAATTTTGAGTTTATGGGGAGTGGGGATGGAAGCAGGTCGGATGTGGACCAAGAAGACCACAGAAAGAGCCATGGAGTCCGGTTGCGTGTGCGAGAAAGCAGTCCGCGATTACCTGCGATAGAGAGAGCAGACGGGGATGGCGAGGAGACTCTCACATAGCTGAGAGCTACGGCGAAGAGTGAAATGAGAATTGAAATGGGAAAAACAATCCGCCACTTCATTCTGTAGGGAGAGAGCAGTAAACGGAAGACAACAGGCGTAACCGCGAAAAGGATCTTCCATCCTACTGTTTTAACAGGAATAGGACCATGTAACGGCCATTCACACATTATATATATAGTAAGATATATATAGACACACACACACACACACACACTAGTGTAACACCCGGGGCATGCCCCGGTAGTGTCATACTGATATAAATAAAAATAGCAAGTATCAATAGAGGCTCGAATTATTTACAGAATTTGTTAATAACATCTTTTATGTTGAAATGATGTGTTTACTGATATTTTGAAAAGGATGATTTTAAAGTATATGGTTTTATTATTACTTCTATTTTTATTATTATTATTATTATTATTATTATTATTATTATTATTACTATTATTATTACTATTATTATTATCATTACTATTATTATTACTCCTACTACTATCACACTATTATTATTATTATAATTATTATTATTACTATTATTATCATTACTATTATTATTACTACCACTACTATCACTACTACTACTAATATTATTATTATTATTTGTTCAAAAATCATCATCATCATCATTTAAGTTTTTGAGCTATTCAAAATATGCACTTAATTTTTATTAATTTGGAGTACATGCAAATGACATTGGTACACTAGCTGTTATTCTTTGTGAGTTAGCAAATGACACTACACATATATAATATGAAACAAATTCATAAAATTGAGATAAATGTCAATTGTCCAAGAAACGTGATAGCATTTGATTGAGAAGTTACGGTAACAGTAAGAATTTATTTTGAATCAGTTGAATTATACTTGATTCCAATTTAATAATCAGGTGTCTAGCATTTATTTATCTTCTACTATACACCTAAGATTCATTTATTTGTTTTTAGGCTCTAATTTACCACCTTAATTAACAGATATAAAGTTACTCCCTCCGTTCTTTATTATCTGTCCCGCTAGTCTTGGGCACGGGTTTTAATACTAGTAGAAAAATAGTAGGGTAAATGTAGAGTGTGTAGGGTAAATGATAAAGTAGGAAAGAGAGTATATTAAAAAGAGTAAAGTGGTGATAAAGTGATGATAAAGTAGGAAAGAGAGTATATTAAGTAGAGTAAAGTTATGATAAAGTAGGAAAAAGAAAGTGGTTTGTAAAAAGTAAGAGAGGTAAAAATAAAAAAAGTGGGGGTATTTTATCAAAAACTTTCCTAAAATATAAAAAGAGACAAATAATAAAAAACGTTCCAAAATGGAATGCGAGACAGATAATAAAGAACTGAGGAAGTATTAAATTATGGACCAAACCTTCACGAAAATTTTCAATAGAGAGATTAGCAATTTTTGTTTTGATTTTAGGAAAAGGGTTTAACTATATTCCCTCCCACTTTAGTAATGAAAGCTTCTAATCATTTTGTAAAAATATTTATGATTTCCCATGGAAGTTAAATCTTATTCAGTTTCACTTTTTTATTTGAACGTATCTATGAAAGTGATTTCCAAATTCCAAATTCCAAAATCAGTTATTTCTGAGGTCAATTAGATGGCTTTTAAATGCACTGTCTATTATTAATTTCAAAATAGAGCTGCTATATTTTTATTTCCGAAATAAGAATCTGTAATGTCATGATTGAAAAACACTACCATGTTAATGGTCAGTACTTCAAGATGATAGTAAATACTGTCACATTACTCATATTTCGGAAAGAAAAACATAACATTTCTATTTTGAAATTGCAAAATCTATTTACTTCTATTTCGAGAAAATTCTCATACAACTATACAAATAATTAAATATACTTTAATAAATACTACATAGTTATCATACTTATCAAAGTTAGGCTACCTGGTCTTCCATATTTGTTTCATATTTGTTTCTTTGCTTGGACTTGGTGAGTAAAATGATGATGACTGTCATATTTCTTGGGTTCAAATAAACTTCAAAACAAGCAGCTTTTAATTGGATTGAGTTTATATCTTTATGTGTGGTATTGGAAGTTTTTGAATGTACAAAGCTACAACATATTTTTAATTGAACTGAAACTTTTTAGTGTAGTTTGGTTTGATAAATGAGTCGACTTTGTATTTTTTACAGCTATCAAAGTATGATCTGATCTGATTTAGTCTGGTCTGGTCTGAACTTATCTGATTTGGTTTTTTTGTGAAATAAGTCCAATTAAAAACATCCTTAGTCTCCATATAAAAGGGTTGTTTTACATTTGAATAAATTGTCAAGTTGTTAATTCAATTTGGGAGTTGTTTTAATTAATTCGTAATGCAAAATTTATATATATATTACTAGTTCCCTGTTTGAAATTTTGAAATACTTCGACCTGATGACCATATAGTAATTGTATATGGGGGAGGCTAAGGAATCTTTAGTTTGGATGGGTTCTCCATAATCCACATGCATAATAGTTAGACCATTGAAAATACGTACAATCTGGGTCTAGTGTTTTTTCTTTTTCTTTTTTTCATTTCTGAATTAAGAACAAAGTTGTTACTCATGTGATGATGCCGCATCTTCAACTTCCTCATTCAACCACTAAAATCAATTGGATATTTGGCCATCTTGTTTGAAGAAAACAGACCAAAATGTCTCTCAAGCTCGGCTCCAGATTTACTATTTTCATCGAACATTGCAAACAAGTATGTCTCAATGGTCTTGTTGGGCCTCCTCGGGGTACCACTACCACCTTTGATATGCCGGATTAAATTCTGGTTATACTTCAATGCGTTCTCCGGCGTGGCTGCTACTCCGCCGGCCGATGGCCACCCGCTCTCTGAGACAACAATGTCCACATTATCCCCTCTGACATGTGCAATGGCCGCATAGGTTGCATCCAGCATTGCATCAAATAGATTGTGGTACCCGTACCCTCCATCCCATACTTCCACTGCTTGGGAAGTGAACAAAGCGTAGTTGAGGGAAACATCGGCTGGATTTTGCGTGTGGGTGAAGTAAGGGTAAACGTTGACGAGCAACGGCGAATTTGTGCTTCTCAGAAACTCAACAATGGGTTGAATATACGAGGTCAATTCGACGTGAAATTGACCCTCTGATGGAGGGAATGAGTTGCTTAACAATGTCATGTCTATGGAGGTGGAAACCTTGATGTTGTTTTGCAATCCAGCTGACAAAACCGCGGTGTGAATGTTCTTCATCGCCGGGAGGACGTAGTTGGCTACCCATGCTGTGTCAGGTTTCAAGGGGCTGATCTCGTTGCCGACGTAGATGTACCGGAACCTCACCTCCGGCCAGTGGCTTTGAACGTTTTGGTGTACCCATTGGTACGAGTAGTCGGTGTCGGAGGCGAGGCGCATAAGGTCTTCGTTTGGCACTCCGAGCATGAGCTGTATGTTGGAGCCTCTAAGCGCTTGCAACACGGCGTCGTTCGGGTTGTAAAGCCTCATTTTTGTGACGTTTATGGTATTGTAAAGTTGGATCACTTCTGATGCTTGTACCAGATCACTGCCTAGTGTTCCATAGCATATGCCTATTCCTTCATGTGCATCTGAAATGCATACATCATATTAGAAACGGCTTCACTTTAATTTGGATCACTAGCCACAAGATAAGAATTATTATGTATTTGCTCAAAATATAATAAAAAAATAAAAGCGTAATACATTAGTACAAATTAGTTGATTACATACTGCTTCACTCATATCTATAATCTGGGTAGATCGATCATACGAGTTCTAATTTGTTCAAAATGTTGTATAACAACTTCATGTTGGAAAAACACGACCCCTGGTCTTTTATAGGATCATGAACTCATAGATCCTTGTACACTTATATATCCACACACGCATAATACAAAGACTCAATCTGACAATTTCATGTTGTATTACCCTCACTCACTATTTATTTCTGAGACTACTTCACTCTACCTAACTCGATCACATACACTTCATCAAGCGATATCTTTGAGCCTTCTTTTCTCACAAGAAGGCTCTCACTTCCACTCGCTCAAGAGCTCTCTATACTAATCTCATCAAAGCTTCTCTAGATTTTTTCATACACTACTATGCATCTAGATTCTTCCAAAAAGTATTTACAAGCTTCTATAATCTTCTAGAAGGATTTAGAGAACACCGCAATTCTTCAAAATGTTCTACAGACTTCCACACACTTCCACACAATTTTAGTGTGTTCCGCACTTCTCTAGAAAACTCTTCATTATTATTCTAGAACATTCAATACTTCTTTACACAGATATAGAGAATCTTAGACATCTTTGAGAATTCTAAAATATTAATGAATTTCTCCACTAAAAAGGGATTCCAACATAGTCTCGAGAATCTTTTGATCTTTTTCTTTCAAGAAATGTGACAATATATTTGTCAAACTAAGTACTTTCTTGCTCACTATAACCACAAAAAGTCAACTCGTGTGCCATTAAAGGTTTAAAACAATCCACATTTTCATTCAAATGAATGTGGTATGCTGCATCTGATACTTGTATTCATAGATACACGTATGTTTTCAGAAAGACTTCGCCTTTTATTTTAACAGTTAATCTAAAGTATCTTTAATTGGTATTTATTTTTGAAAAACGAAGGGGGCGCTTAAAATATATTATTAGTAGTAGTAATTGTTTTTGCGAGAAACGGGGGCGCTTGCCCTCTCATGGCCCTCCCGGCACTAGCTAACTCAACTACACAAAAGTTTTTTGATAGTGTAAATCCATAATATTGACAATCGGTAGATCGATACTTTTATGTGTACATATATCTACATATGCTTGAATACAATAAGAAAAAGAAAGAATACATCACTATTAATTAATATATCTTTTAATTAATTATCTTAATAATGAATTATAATTATGAAACACAAATAATTATGGAGCAGATTGCCATGCTCAATAAATTTAATTATTACTTTATACACTTTTCAGTTAATTATGTATAATGAACAGGCGTATACGGTATATATATATATGATGTTGCAAATGTTAAAATGCCTGAATCTTGCCCAAGTCATCTAAATGTAGCATATTTTGTGTTCTATTTATGTAAAATATCATTCATTTAAAACAATACAACTTTTAAATTGTTAATTGAATCATTGATATTGATCCATCAAATAAGTGACATAAATAATGATTGTGGCCGAAAACATTATTAGAATTATTCCAGTTATTTCCAATACATTAATATATTTTCAATGATTACTTCTAGGGACTTGCTTGCAATTTTGAAGGTATTAATCTATCATTGGAGCATTACTCTTCCTTTTGCCTGAGAACGCTAATTAGCTTAAATGAGCTATTAGCTTGAATAATGAGAATTATTAAATATAGCATCATAAATAATAAATCAAGAGGAAAAAGTTACAGCTAACCATTGGAGTATATTTCATTTTTGCTACAAATTCTTATGTGGTTAGTCAAGCTATAACGGAAAAAAATATTAATCACCTGATATTGCAAGAACCATTAGGAATCCGAGGAGAAAAAATGTGACCGCCATTTCTGAGAATTATTGTGTGTAAAATTTGAAGGCGTATGTACATGTATATATGTAGATATATAGTGATATAAATATATCCTTGCAATTAAGCTAGCCTTTTATAGCTGAGAATGAGTTGTTCATTATTGTGCACGTACGTAAATATATAATTACAATTAACACCTTATTAAATTTTCATAATTAATTAAATCAAATAGGCCGGTTACTTTAAATATGATATACATACTCATGCTTATTCAACTTACAAACATTTCCTACTATACGCTTTAATTTCTTGGTATAAATTAAAGAACAGTTTGTTTATTCCAACATAGGTATTCCACCGACTTAGCTTGTGGGGAAAAAACTCATGGCCGGGTAAAACGGGACCATATGGTGTTCTTCACGCAGAATTCAGCAAACTGCAAACCTTTCTCCCATTTCTGGGTTATTTCACGATTGCACAATCTTTAACATTTTATGTTACTATAGTATACGTATACAATATGATATAAGGACCACATGCAAGGTAGTTTAGTTCTAGGTAATTTCACGTTTACATTCAATATGATATAAAGACCACAAGGTATAAAAAATAATTCTCTTTGTTCATTTTTAAGACAAAAATGAACAAACAATTTTTAGGGAAAACACAAACAATTTTTTTACCGGCATCTCGGGCAATCCCTCTTACAAAATGGCAAAAGGTGTTTGTGATACAGACAAGATGAAGCAATTACAACAATCTGCTTTGAACATTTTATTTCCAAGCATATCATGTATCATTGTTTCATGTTTGGTTAGAATTTGTACTCAGATCGATATATTTTAATTTATTTCCATCAATTTAAATAGAGTCAAAGACTCACTATTTTTGACTTGATTATATATGATGGAATAAAGGAAATGGTTCAATAAATTGTATGCACTTCTTTATTATGAAGCATGAGTCAGTCTGTGCAATTCTCAAATTCTCGATATGATTTACATCACGGGTCATCCGGAAGCAGCCTCTCCGTACTTCAGTAAATGGTTAATTAAGGATGCCTATGTACGACCCCCTTACCTCACCGTAGGTGGGGGAGCCTTTGCCTGTGCACTGAAGTAATGTTGATGTTTTGTTGTTATTGTTGTATCGGTATAAATAGATATCGCCAATGAAAAAGATATGATAATCAATTTTCTTTTTCTTAAAAAAAGGAACTTGCCGTCAAGAAGGGTGTATATATTTTAATTCTTCTATATTTCTGTTATTTATTTCTGGACCTTATTTTATATACACATTTTCATTGTACATGATCATTTACACGCTCAAATTGTTTGTGCATGTACACAAATAGTTCTGCTTATTAAACAAATTTTCCTTCATGTTTGTGGGGGTGTGTATAAAGAGAGGTGTATGAATAGTTGTATTAACCAAATTTTCGTTAATTTTAATATATACTCCCTCCGTTTCTAAAAGGACCTCACACTTTCCTTTTTTGGATGTGCCAAAATAAAAGTCACACTTCCCTTATTTCCTTATTTGACAAAGAAATCTACATCCAAACAGTGTCAAACAGTGCCAAACAGTGTCCAAACAGTGTCAAACAGTGTTTTCTACAGTAAAGTCAATTTATTTCCTTAATAATCGTGAAGTCAAACCGTGACTTTCTTTTAGAAACGGAGGGAGTATATATATGTGTATGTATACCTCATTTCTTTTTCCACTCAATCCCTCTCAACAATATCCCATCCCCAAGTGGTAAGTCTCTGTTTTGAATCCTGTCAATTGCAACAAGAGATTACTAAGTAAAAATGCATTGACGTATGTATCTGGGCCAGAGTCTAACTCGTCATCTGCCAAATTGTGATTAAAATTAAATTTACATCCTCCCAGTTACTCCATTCCGTCTCTAGTCATTAAGTGAACCATTAATAGAAATACTCTCACTTCATTTCTTAGACATGTGTACCATACCTTTGACGGAGTATGATTTATCTAAAATGTTTTCTGGGCGTATTTGTGAGATTCCAAGAAAAACTGAATACACATATTTCATACATAAGGAGGTTGTGGCAAATAGGACCAAAAATGATTGTGTATTCTAAAATAGGAGTATAATATTTTTATTCTCTAAATATGAGTAGTTACTGTCATGTTTTGGTAGTACAAAGCTTTAAACATGACAGTTTTTTCGAGTTTTGATGTAATTACTCCGTACATGACAATCCTATTTTGAAATTTTCAAATGTTTTTCACTTCCATTTCGGGAAATTTCCTTTCATACATATACACATATATGTATATGTATACAGAATTAATTCCACTTTAGGTCCTCCGAGTTTTGTGTCATTTCCATATTTAGTCCTCGTCTTTCACTTTATCCATTTTTGGTACCTGACTATTGTTTTCTTGACCATTTTTGGTCCATCTTTGGGCATTTTTACTACCGGAAAAGGACTATATATGGTCAAGAAAACAATAGTCAGATACAAAAAATGGATAAAGTGAAAGACGAGAACTAATTGTGGAATTGGTGCAAAAATCGAAGGACCATAAGTGGAATTTCTTCTATGTATATGTGTCATGTGTATGTGTATGTGTATATATATACATATGTATATGTGAGGAGGAGGTTTGTTGTCGTGAAGAAGAAAGAACCAGGGGAAAAAAAAGCGGAAAAAAAGGAAAGAAAGAATGAAAAAAAGAAAAAAAATGGAAAAACATAAAAAAATAATTGAGTGTTTTTTGTTTGAGGGCGTAATTGACTGTTTTGACATATTTCGACGATCGATTTGACATCTTTTCCTAAATTAAAAGCAAGTACATCATACAGAATCATTAATTATACGTCAATGGGTAAAATAATATTAACACACCAAACTTGTATGTCTAATGTAAATATCCCAAATTTTATATAAAATGTTATTTTACTGCCATGAACATATGTGTTTTCTTTCACAAATGTGAAATTAGTGTTGAGTAAATAATTTATATATTCTAAGCATTTTTAGTGGAAAGAATGGCACGCATAATACCCCTAACCTTTTAGAACATAAAAATATGACTAGATTTCTTTTAGACCAAAAAGTGACCGAACTAAAACATATCCCCTATGTTTTCTTTCTTCCTGCGCTTTATTGACGCAAACTTGGAGCTCTCTGTGGACATCTGCAGACAGCAACTCCGAGCAATACATTGACGCGCGGAAACATGGAACTTCTCTGCAGACAGAGCAACTAGACTGGCCGCTTCTTCCTCGACATCGCCCTCCGCGGACAGAGCAGACGGATCGCCGTCTACTTCACAGAATGAGTAGACGGATCGTTGCCGCCACTGTCGTTCTCGCCCTAAACGTTCAGATCTGTGATAGCTAGGGTTCAGATCTGGCGGCGAGGAGCATTGCCGGCGGGCCAGATCCGTATTGAATTGGCTAGGCTTGGGGTTGGTTAGGGGTGTTGCGATGGTTTGGGACGAGATTTGAGGAAGGGGAGGTAGGGAGCGACTGGGGAGGGCGGTTAGGGACTGGGGAGGTGGTTAGCGACTGGGGAGGGGGGCTGTGGAAGGTAGGCTACGAGCTATCGACGGAGTGGTAAGTCAGGTGGGCTGGATGGTGGTCGCCGGAATGTCGCGGCGGTGATCGGAGGTTGTGGGACGGTGGCATTAGGTGGCAGGTATGTATTGGTCATTTGGTTGGTATTTTTTGGGGTTGACGAGGCTGACGATCAGAGGTTGTATCACATTTTCATTGGAAAAAGTTGCTGGTAAATTTTCTGATGGCATAGTGACACGCTATACGATAACAGTGACTTCCGAAAGTGACATACTATCGTAATATTTAACAGTGACATTAGAAAGTGATATAATAACCAGTAGTGGCATTCGAAAGTGACATAAAAAGCCGGTAGTGACATTCAAAAGTGACATAAAAATCTGGTGATGACATATGACAGTGACATATAATTTGATAGTGACACTAGCGGTGGCTACAGTGACATGAATGGTGACTACAGTGACATGAGCGGTGGTTGTAGTGACATGGGTGGTGGCTGTAGTTACAAAAAAATGAACGCAGTGACATAAAATTTTTGTAGTTACATCATGTTTTTTAATTCCACATATATGACCTTCTTGATCACTTTTTTGCCTCTTTCTAAAAGTAGTCACTTTTTGGGTAATTGGTTCAAAATTAGTAATATTCAAGTAAAAACCCCTTTTTAGTGTGCAATCAACATTATAAACTTATTCGTTAATATTATTTATTTCAAATATTAAAGCTTAGATTAATAAATCCATCCTTATAAATGCCCAAAGTATTTTAACACTATAAGTTATGATAGGTACTTTTATTACTTATGCAAATTTGTGGTGCTTATTTCATCCCTCTTAAATTTATTACTTATGCAAATTTGTGGTGCTTATTTCATCCCTCTTAAAAGTTTGGTGTATTTAAATTATTTTTCTCCACATTACATATTGGAAAGCTACCCAAATACTTACATGACTATTTATAAGTTGATATCTTCATTAAGAAGTCCAAAAACCGCTCTCTAATTATTATCTGCTAATTTTTGTTATTCGAACGGCGCATACTTTTTTAAGACTTTAAAAGGAAAAAATATTTGCTGCCAAAGTGCTAAAATGTTCGCACCCAAAACTTTCTCCCACTATTTTTTTTATTAATATATACCCATAGTATAGATGATGTATACTCCGTATAATATAAAGATATATGGAATCATGTAATCATATTATGAAAATTCTTAAGGCAGGAGTAAAGACATTTTGAAATTATCGCATTGAAAAACTATATTTTTGTTTTATACAATAAAACTAATTATTGTCAAGCTTGAAAAATATAATAGAACTTACATGATACTCCGTAGTATTACTCATACTTAACAAAAAGAAACATAATAATCTTATATTAAAATTTACATAGGTGTTTACTCCAGACAATTTCTCAATCATATATTATCAATTGATATTGTTTTAATGATTTTAGAAGACAAATCCCTTATTTTTAAAGGAGTATTCTATTTGAATTTGTGATGTAAAAAAACGACTCATCACTAAAACAAATAATTCCATGACTTCAACGATCAAATAAAATCTTTTCTGGGGTAGAGATTTAGGAGAACTGTT